TATTTAATATAATACAATATAATGAGATTTTAAAAAGCTAACCTGTCTTGCTGATAAAACTTGGTCCAAGACAACGGGCTGTTGGACAATCTTTATCCCTTCTGGGAAACAAAGTGCAGGGAAGCAGAACCAATAGTAGAAATGGTACTTCTTCAGGTCCTGTAGAGTTTTTAAATGAATTTAAAAAGGGTGAAGATGYCAAAGAAAAAAGCACTTGTAAAGATAGTCTTTATTCTTACTGCAAAGGTCAGTAGAATAAATCTGCAAAGAATAGATGGGTTCTTTAATGCAGCTCCAGACCGTATAGCATCCCAGATCTGCAGATAAAAGCCAACAGAGAATTGCAGTTACGCAAATAAATGATTGCATAACTTGCGGACCATTTTTGATGCTTTTAATTCTTTTCAGAAGATATTTTTTCTACCTTGTGAGCCTACTTGAAAACGCATTTGTGTTTGTAAGAATGCTTTGTGGATGTCCTTTACCTCAGCGGCCTCCAACTCCAGCAGAGCCTTCTTATCAGTGTTCTTAAAGGCATCTAGTGTGTTGGTGTTGTGCAACGTTCCAACAGCTGGACAGCATCGAGCRGGGGTCGGACCATCGCTAACAGCAAAAAAAAAAAATGTTTGAACAGTTGAGCATAAACCAATGCAGCTGTACTCTGTAATATTTAGGGAGGCTACAAGTTTTAAAATAATAAATATTACAACAAGAAATTTTAACGAATGCAGTGTTTAAGSAGTCTTCTCATCTCCCAGCTTTAATTTAAAAGGTTTCAACATTCACTACAGCTTTTTAATAGGACTATTTATAGCACCAGGCCCTCCCTTTATTTAATAAAACCACCCCCCCTCTGTTCACCCTGCTGCGCTGTGACGGCTTTCAGGTGAGTTGGAATTATTGTCTGAATAAGTGACATGAGAGTGTTTCTGTGTGTGTTGATTGATTCAGGAAGCTGATTTGTTCCAGCCTCCCAGTGTGAGTTTTAAACACTGGCTTCCTCCAGCACCTGCAGGCTCTCCTCTCTCCACCTCCCTCTTCACTTTACTGCTCGATCTGCTGAGTGKGAAGACTTCTGCTCCTTAAAGTGACAGCTTAGATTCAGCAGAGGTGGGCAGCAGCTCTGTTTAATAACTTTTTCACGTTATGCTAATTTAGGAAAATGTCAGCTTTTTGCCTTCTGGTTATTTCTATTTGAGATTGCAAGCTTAAGTTTCTCAGACTTTATCAGACTTTTGTTATTTTTTAAAATACCGGTACATTTATCCTGAAGCCTCAAAAAAAATTAAATTGAGTTTTTTAAGGCTGCAGGTATTTGTTGCTCATGGTTCTTGAGGCCATTTGAAACATAAATCATGCTTTTCTCAACGTAAACTGAAGGATCATCCACTTTATTTTTCTATTTCATGAGCTGTTGACCAGGAAATGCATGTCCTGTTTCTGTTTTTCAATTTTGCATCTGTGTGAAGAAGACCAAGTTTAAAGGAATGATCCAAATTTAAAGTAGAAAATGGGTTGTTTAAAAGATTTTTTATGGAAATCATCTCAAGTGAATTGTTTCTGGAAGAAATGGGGACAGTATATTTCATAAAATTGATGAGACTGCTGTGGAAAATGCGTTAAGTAGAGAGTGAAGGCTTGCCCCACTTCACCCAAATCCTATAAAGTGTGGCATGACTGCTGAGTATTGGGCTTCAGCTGGTGTTGGTAAGAAGGTAGAAGTGGGTGGTCAGTCCTCTTATAATGCAAATTAGCTGATGGTATGCAACAGTTATCATTCGTAATCATTTTCTACAAGTGATTTATGAGAGCTGGCAATGAGTTTGTCTCACCTGAGTCATACATCTCAACTTGTACGGATTGTCCATAAGTTATAAGGATTTTACGTCATTTTGCAGGTAKATGGGCGTATAGAGCAATCTCACAGATTTTTTCAAGTCTTACGGATTTTTTCAAAACCTCATTTTCAAATTTATCTAACATGTCCATGGGTTAAAAGATAATAAATAACATCAAACAGCCATCTTCCAACCTATTCTGCTGCTAGAAATAAGATTTGAACTGTTTCCTCTCTCCTTTCCTCCTGCTTCGTAGCAGGCGCTTTCATGTTCGCAGCCGATCCCCCACCCCACCCCCCACCCCCGCAGGTGCGAGTTGTACGGATTTTTTGCGAAATTTACAGATTTTTGGGGCTCTTTAGAAAGGTAAACGTCCAAAGAGGTTGACATGTATGCTGAGTCAAGGTTTTTTTGTTTCTATACAATATATAATGTAACTCTAAAATAATATTTTTAATACGTAACAATATATATAATGTATTTTCTTAACATAATGCTGCATGTACTACTAATAAATACCCAAATACATTTCAGCTAAAAAGCATCCAATTAAAAAGAAGCACAGAACAGAATCTGGTTTCTTTTGCGATAAAAACTATATATATAAAATTATATTATAATGTTCTCTTCCAAATTATTATTTTTTGCAGAGTTCATTACTGCATGTGAAGGATGGTTCCTTTTTATGTGTGAATCTGTTTTTTTTKTTGTTTTTGTTTCTTTTTTTTTGCATTTTAACAAGCACAGCAGCAGTGCAATAAAGAAATCCATTAATTAGAACTAAACRTGTTTTTACTTGTTGACTGTGTATCCATTCCGACTTTAAAAGTCTGTTTATTAGTTACTCTTTTTAAGCTAAACAAATGACCAAAAAATATATTAAACAATAGAACTGACTAAATTTATTTCATGATTCAAAACAGCCTGATGTCACAGTTCTAAAAAGAATAAAAACTTTAAATCAGAATTTAAACAACTGGTCGTATAAAGTTAGTTTGTGTTTACTAAATAAAATAACCCCGTAATATTTTCACCTGAAATGATTGGATGTGTTATCTATATTACATATTTGCATTTAAGATTCTACGACGGAGTATTAGGGCCACACGAGATTTTTTTTAAATTATTATTATGAGCTTAAAGTCATAATTTTATGAGAATAAAGTCATAATATTACCAGGTTAAAGTCGTAATATTACGAGATTAAAGTCATAATTTTACAAGAATAAAGTCATGATATTACGAGAATAAAGTCATGATATTACGAGAATAAAGTCATAATACCGTATTACAAGATTGAAGTCGTAATATAATGAGAAAAGTCATAATCATGACGTGTCTATTTCCCGTTCCTCATTTCCTCCTTATTTTCCCCACACCTGCTGTACAGCCATGTATCTGTGTCTGTGTTTATAAAGTAGTCAATGATGACTCGTCACTGTTAGATTAATATGTTTTCATCCAAATTGGCTACGACTAAATCCGTCAATGCATCCATTAATTACAATATGGCTTCAGTTTATAGTCATTTGCACATTTTCCAAGTCCTGCTACTGATAATTTGATGCTAATGTGCTAAAAGATTATTTACTTATAGCAATACTAAAGAACAACTTGACAAGTTGCTCAATATTCCTCATTTTAATGCAGTGGTAACTGCATGCTTTTTTTGTGTAAAGGCTACAATATTATGACTTTTTCTCATAATATTATGACTTTATTTTATACAACTTTAATGTTGTAATATTATGACTTTATTCTCGTAATTAAAAAAAATATAAAAGAAATCTCGTTTTGTGGCCCTAATACTCCGTCGTAAGATTCAGACTGATCAAATAGCTAAATTAAATTTAAGTTATAAGAACTATATTATTATAACTATACTTATATTATTCAGTGCATTTAAATGAGCAACATCAGCACTTTACCTTAGAAGGCTGTTTGTGTAAACTTTACTTACACATCAAATGCACTGAACTCCAATGTCAGACGAGTTGGCAAACCGACCGGATCACCTGTCCAATGGAAACAAAGACAAATCTTTTAAATCAGTTCAGTAAGCAAAGTCTATATTTATCAACTCAAGAGTAGAAACTGCACTCGGCAGTTGTTAAGTACAATGACACCATCTGGCCACACCACTCACCGTTGTAATAGTACCCTTTGATACACTTCGGGCTCTCATCCAATCTGTACTCATTGAGCTTCTTCTGAGTGAGCTGGTGCCAGAATCCTGCCTCCAGAGCGCTGCTGAAGGGGGCGAACTGCAGCTTGAGGTCTGCAGTGGATGATGACGCTTCACTGATGTCAGACGCCATCGCAATTTTACTGATTAAAATCCACAAACTGTGAAATGAAGCAGCAGTATGTTGCACAACACTTAATATTCTGGTATAACACAGCAGTGAAGACACATTCACGACCATAATTTGAATGCAAAGCAAGCAAACTTTACAAATGGATAAGATTAATATGGTATCTTTTGACCTTAGGAGGCAAAGTTCTTTACAACTTTGCTTTTCATTCACTCAGTCAAACGTGCTTTCACTGTGATTAGTAGAGCAGACAAATTAAAATGTGCCCTTCATGAACAGCATGGGAATTATTGTTTTAGGCACAAAGCCTACAATTAGTAGATGATCCAATGCAAATCACGTCATAATTTATTTTGGCTCCTGGGTTTATGACCTCTGATGGTTTCAGGGATTGCATTCAGTCTATGAGTTTTCAAATTAATCACTTAATTAATTTTCACTTCCTGTTAATTGTCAATAAGGAACTCCAGGTAAATCTAAACTTGTTTTATTCTCTACTCCAAACTTATTTGTTGTGTTTGTGTTGGAAGAATAATTAATAAGGTTGATAAAATTCCAATCACAGAAACATCTGGGGAATTTCTAATCTGTTCCAGACATTTTTTAGAGAAAGAAAGATTTAAATGTAAAAGTTTGGAGGGCTCAAAAATGTATTTCCACTTATCAATTTTTACACAAGGACATGTACTGACAATTTGTCTGGTTAATTTCTGATTTTAGGTATCCATTTGTGAGATGTTTCACAAAACACCCAATTACTCAAACTATATAAAATGTTTCATTTTGCTGTGCCTTTACACATCTCTGTGTAATTTTACACTCTAAACTTTTGTTACAATGACAAACCCGCTTCGATATACCAGCCAATCATGAATAGAGTACGGTAATCATTTACTGTGYAGACAGTAACCTGAGATATATCTGTGATTTATGAGTCATCAACTAATTTATACAACATGTCAGTGYGGTAAATGATGCAGAGATACTGTTATTAACACCTAAAGGTGATGATTCTTATTGACCAGCTAGCAGCTTGCTGAGTTTCCACATCAGTGTATGACACCAGCATGGAACACTTGAAACATGTGCTAAAAGTATCAGATATCACCTAAGGTACTGCATAAAAAGAAAGACGACTTTTTTTGCAKAACAGTCACAACACTCACGTGACAATAACCCTCCCCCCTACAGTCACAGCTTCCTCTAAGGTTTACAGTCATGTGTCTCATAATAAAAAYGGTTAAGAACTGTTAACTCGTCTAACAGCTACTATGGGAAACAAGTCTAATTWGTAAAGACCCACCCAACAAAACACTACGTCAAGGTGATCTATGGAGAGTCCTCTAACTCAAAACAAGCAAACTTGGGTCAAACTGTATTCCACCAGCAACAACACACTTATTACTTCACTTCCCAGAAACTCTTCCTGTCACATGAACCCTTCTTTAAGAGTCCAGTTCAAACCTGTAAAGAAAAAAAAAATCACTTTTTAAACACTGTTAACTAAATGTCTATTCGCACAACCACTTGTAAGGCCTAGCTGTCAAATAGAACAATGCAACAAAAATGTGTTTAGTCACTATTCTAATGTCTCCTAGCTGTTCACAAGTCAAGTCTAGAAGGTTTTACAGTGGCAGTTCCAGATCTGGTTCTGGTGTTCTGGTTTTCATAATGTTTTAACTTATTGTTTCCCACATTAAAACACAAGTTAATATGAACTGTTGTCTGTTACAGCCAATTTAATTTGATAAATGTAAATAGAAGTAGCATATCTAAGGGTTTAGTTTATTAGGACATCTCCATTGAGCAGCTCTTACAAACAGGGAAAATACTGATGAAAAATGAACTTGACAAAATAAATAAATTTATAATAAAACTGTTTGATTGTGTTATTCACCCAGGCTAGTTTGAATGCTATTAGACCAATAAAGATGCCGATTAATGTCTGCAGCTGACAAAGATGTTTACAACACCAGGGATAACCTTTTTTCATCATGCTGTGGACAGTGACAGTAAAAGCAGCAGCACCTTTAAGAACGTAAGAACAGTTTTTAATCATAAAAGTCTCAAAAAGGATGAACCTTAAGAAGGAATACAATGACCGTACGAACTGATTTCTGGTCAGTTTTAAACACAGACAGACCCGAATTTGTGAAAACATTACAAGCTTTCTTTGTGCACTTACCTTTAGCAGCGACTTCCTGGTTTAGTTGATCACGTGATCGAGGCGCTTTGTCAATAAAGCGGTGCAGTATGGGTAAGCAGCCCGGTGTTATTAGCATTATTAGCTTAGCTTAGCTGCTGTGTGGATCCCTTTGAGCCTTACGGTGCGTGAACCATTGAGTAAAACACAAAGAACCAAAACACAAACAGAAACGCGCAAACGACAAAGCAGGAGAAAACTGATAAAAACCTATACGTGCCTTTTCTTTTCATGTCGGACGGACAGATGAATCCTGCTGGTGGAAGCGAGTAGAACCAGCAGGTGAAATCTCACGTAGCGGTGAAACAGGTTCTTTCCTTTACTTCTCTTGTATGTCAKACAGGACGTACAAGCTTTATTACTCTGCCTGTATCATGACCAGGAAGTCAGAAATTCCTAAACAGGGTAGCGTAGTGGGAAGGGGCTGTCTCAAAGTAAATCATCCTTCTAACTAAGGCAGTAGAAAAACGCTGAAATATCAATATCTTTGCACTTTCTAGCTAGAGCTCTGTTGTGTGTGGCATCRTTTGATCTTAGACTTAAAAATACATGACAGAGGAGCCATTCTGTGTTGGCCCCTAAATCAGTAGAGTAACTGATAATTGCAAACTAATCCATCCATTATAGCATTTATTTCAAAAGATTGGTTTTTGAATTTGTTGTGGGGATCAGAACTTGACTTGTTCATAGAAATGATGAGTAAATATTACGTCTCACAGAAGCACAAATTTACTAACTAGGCAAATATATATACAAACATTAATTTTGCTTTAATCTTTATAAAGCACTTCAAGTTGCTTTTGAGCTCCAAGTACTATATTTATTAACTTCAATTAATAAAAGCTCTGTAGGCTTTGTTTTTATAATCACTATGGTGCCTTCAGGGCCCACACACTATTAAAAGCACTCAGATTTTTGTACTAAAAGTGAATTCAGTTGACCACTGGCTATGTTCACAAGTCTTTCAATATTCCCTCTTATTTTATGTAAGCCACTACTCTAACTGTGGTGTTTGTGTCAAATAAATGTTCTTCTTTTCAAGTATAACTGGAGCCCAAAAACATTCATACTCTTCATTGCAATGTTTACTCAGCAGCAGAAAACTTGTGACATCTATGTCCCTCAAAACACAGAGCACAAATGAGATCCCCGCTCATCTTAGTAAACAGGTTTCCATCCAACAGCACCACAGAGGGACTGAAATCAGCACTGGTTCCTGTTTGTTTGGCTCAGAGCTGAAGGCTGTTAACTGTCCCAAAGGCTCAGAAATGGATTAAAATTATTCAGTATTTGGAGTGATTCGCCTCTCTTTTTCCAAAACAAACAAAGTTTCAGTCCGTATAACGAGACCTGAGGTCCTGTGAATTCTAAAGGTAGCAAAAATCTTAGTGTCTCTCACAACATTTTAAAATAAACAAAACTTGGATCCCATGCTTGAATAGTGTTGAATCCATCTACATCACCAAAGCAAATCAGAGGTGTGTAGTAACTAAATATATTTAGTTTGTTACAATATGAAAGTAATTCTTTGAGGATGTGTAATTTTACCATTTTTTAAATCATAACTTTTATTTTGTTACATTTAAAACCTAAAAATACTACTTTCACTTATTTACTTTAAAATGTAACACTTGTTACAAATATGCAATTATGAATATGACTGGAACTCATCATGAAAAGAGTTGTTTATGCACTCTAAAAAAATAAAGTGTTGAATCTGCTTAACCAAGTTATGTCAACTGGTTTCACCGAGCCTAGTTGAGTAAATGTAAAGCAATTTAAATATTCTATTAAAAAATGGTAAATTGCTCAATTAATCAACTCGGTTTAGTGGAACCAGTTTGCTGAAGTAAATTCATCACTTTATTTGTCAGAGTATGTGCAAAAGTACTTTTATTTTCCTGATTGTGAGCAGTTTTATGACTTTTACGTAAGTACTTCGGTAATGCTTTCTTTTACGGTACCCTTATTACCATGTCATTACGTGGTAATTACAGTACAAAAGAAAAACTACTGTTAGTAAAACTACCTTTATTGGGTAACTACAATCAAATTACTATTCAATTGTAACTCAACACTATATTTATAACCAAAAGAATGCCACTAAATTTTGGGGGTAGTGGTTAATTGCAAAAAAAATAACTTTAAAACTGTCCAAATTACCTACTACTCATTTAGGTGTTACATAGTGAATTGTAATACATTACCAGGTAAGTGCTACATTACTGCAGACAATTAATTACATAGTAAAATTGTACCCTAATTACCACGTAATTAATAAGGTAGTAATTGCATTTAATTAGCAACTTTATTACCTTGTAATTAAATGGTAACAAAGGTACCATAAAGGAAAGCGTTACCAGTACTTCTTTTATCATTGAAATAMATTTTTACCAAAGTAATTTTCTGTTAAGGTATTTTTACTTTTACTTAATTATTTCTTTCAAGTACTTTATAGACCTCTGCAGGAATCGTACTGTAATGTATGAAGCTATAAGGGGTTTGCATATGTGGTCATCTCAATATGAACATGAAATTATTCATTTGAAGAATAAAGATTTCAGAAAATGTATTTACATTGTAGTATTGTATTTAAATTAAGAACTTATTTGGGTTAATGTCATGACATTGCCAAGAATTAATGACAAGACATTTCATTACATAGACATAAATCCAAACTCAACCCAAAAGCATAAAKCAAACTGTTAAAATTCAGTGTAGCACTTCTAAAAAGAGAAGAATTCTTTATTTACTGAAAGAGATATAATGAGTCAAACAAGCACCATAGTTTAGCATGTCCACAAACAGCCACAAAACAAATTGTAACAAAACATGACACAGTAGTATACGTCTGTCACCTTGAGCTTTATGTCTTTAACTGACATTTACAAACAAGGTTTGAATGTCAGCATTTAGCAGCACGATATTTGCTTTGTTTGTGGGCTCAATATCTGCAGTGTGGAGTTTTATTTWAACAGTGTGAGAGTCTCTACTTTTCTCACGCTGCCTTCTTCTATGWGTTTCACATAAAGCGTGCGTTTATTGTGCTGCACAGTAGGGCTCCACAGCATTCTGTCTTTCTAATCTCAGAATTATTTATTTTTCTTATATTCTGATTCAACGGTTCGTGGGARTAAACTCCACAATCTAAATCGAGGCTTAAGACAAAGAACAGGATTAGCAGTTTAATTAAGGATTCTCAGATTACATATTAGGCAAAGTGAGCAACAGAAACCCCAAAACTCTGGATAAACTGGATTCCCCATAAGTCAATACATTTTTAAATCATTTGTCTTTTTTTTAACATCAGTTCATGTCTTTAATAGCTGAAATACAACAATCAGATTCATTTCATTTGCATTAACCTCAATGATTGGGCCAACGTACAACCTACTAGTCTAACTTTAGAGTAAAAATAAAAGGAATCCTGGACATTACTCTTAAAAAGTTCTGTAGAAAGTCTTGAATCCACATGCCTCAGACTAGATTTTCTGCAACTGGCTCCTAGATGGACTCTTGCAAACGACAAATCCTCTAGGAATAATTTGACACAAACTTCTGGCTTCCTTAGATAAATGGTGTTTCAGTATAAACTGAATGTGAATGTATTGTATCATAATATAAATTGAATTGTCTATAATTGGATTAGATTTGGATCTTAATTGGATTTCTGATTTTAACTTGTTTTTTTGTTTGAACAGTGCTCTGAGATAACTTTTGTTGTGAACTGCTCATGAATGAACTCCATTGAATTTTAAGGCTAGATGCTGTTAAATTTTAATAAAGTAAACTTACAAAACAAACTCTAACTTTTTATAAACTGTGACGCTTCGTTCAAAAGCTAAGTATTATACCATTTAACAGGATTACCTCCATATTAGTGATAAATATTTTGATAACTGAGTCTAATTTATTTTCATTTTGCTCCCTAAGAGACCAGAAAAAAGTGTATTATTGAAGTTATATATTACATATAAAAGATTACTGAAACTGCCGTGCGTGACTAAAAAAAGAAGACAAAAATGAATGTGGGTACAAAAAAACCCTCAAAAGTAAAGACTAACAGAAAATGAACATCCATAAATTGTGTTTCAGACTGAGTGTCGTGGGATAATAAATTGGGTTTTGAGGAACCTTTYACAAGTCTATAATGGAGTGATAAGAAAGGCATTAATAAAAGTCTTCATTAATCATTACAGGTCTTTTTTCTGTTTCCAGAAATATTACTCCAAGTTCAAATGTCAAAGAAGATCTAAAACACATTAATACAAGAACATTCAGAGGACAGAATACAGATTAAAATACCTTCAGTGTAACATAAATAGTTCAAGTAAAGGAAGAACAAGTGCAATATGTTTAAAACCACTTTTTTTCTTTCAGTAAAATACCGATTTCAAAAATACCTCCAACTCAGTTTTAGCTCTGATTTTTTAGATTAAACTGAGYATTGAATCATGAATCATCATTGCTATTAGCAATCTAGCATTTTATGTAACTGGTGAATCAGCTCATTACATTCACTGATTCACAACATTAAAACAGGACTTCAGCAAGTTGCCTCTAATATGAGAAGACTCAAAAAATACTCAAAGCAAATTGCTTTTTGAACATTTGAAATTGTGCATTTTTTATTATTATTAGAGATATTTTGTAAGTTATTTTGTTAAATCTTCATTTTTTWAATTTACCACAAGGCATCAGTCTGCAGTGTTTGTTGGATGCAGTTGAATGAGTCACAAAAAGTTTAATTAAAAACAATTTGCACAAATCTTACGTTTATAATTATTTTTGGACAGCATTGCAAAATTATGTTTGCTACATTTAAGCTAAAAATACAATAACAAATGCTATGTGTAAAATGTTAACATATAAAAGTAAATTGTTAAAACCTACAAAGTAGCTTCAGGTAAACAAAATCATTACAGTTTTTATCAAATACCAGGATTGTAAGACACGTATCATCAAGACTCATTGTTTTCTGGTTAAAAATGTGTTTCTTAATGTTTTTGTTCTCATACAGATTTTCACATATGATGACAGTTAAACATAGCAGAACACTATTAAGTAAAACTTTGTGACWTGCCTTTGTTATTGCTACAAACTGACTTGATTGTGTTTTAAATTTTGTTTTAAAATAAGCACACTTAGCACATCCCAGAATATCTTACTGTATTAAAAAGCATTTATCTCAGATTTTCTCTTGAAGCAGCATGGCAGATCACAGATTTACTCACAATGTATAGGTGCTTGCAGTATTTATTTTTCAGATGTATGTTGTTTCAGCATTGTCAAAGCACGTGTCACATTTTTATTTTTAGTGCAATAAATAAATAATATGTACCTTTTTGACACACACTTTGCTGTCAACATGAGGTGTTTGTTGGCAGGTTTAAAAAACTTAGACCACAGGTATTTTTTTTAACCAAAATATAAATGGATATACAGTATAATCAAGCAGAGATCAGTGTTGCTGCCTCTTATTATTAAAGACTTAATTGACAGTGAGCTTCCTATTTAATTTCTTCAAAAAGCATCTAACGTAGAACACCGTTGACCAAGTTTATGCTCATGTTCCTGTTTGTTCAAGGTGGGATTATCATGAAAGTTTATGAACAATTCATATCTTGTCTGTTGTAAATATGCAGCTAATTAAACCTCAGTTTAGAGGAACAGAGTTTAAATCTGACCAGACTGACTAGCTTACAGCTAAGACCAAGACCAAAATGGAAATATGCTGCCATCAAATAGCACTATATCCAAAACTTTCATTACATTTTTTTGCAAATACAGTTTCATAAACKTTTGCATCCCCATTATTTCACCTATCATTTATTTACATTGAATTGGATGATTATTCGCAAGTGCAAATAGCAGCAACAGCTAGCTTTAGCACTTCTGTCAATGCCTGGGGTAATTTCAGCAGAAATTTGGTAATTGTTCTGGCAGAATAGCCATGAAGTGCAAAYCAGTAYAAAAGTTTATGAAATAGAAATTGCATAACTGCCATTGAAGTTTGGAGATTGAAGCTGTTTTTTTACATCTGCAATTTGCTTTTGTCTTGGCTGTAATCAGACTAGCCATTAGCTCATCCGTCCTGTTAGAATTAAACTTCACTTCTCCAAATTGAGGCCATTCAAAGAGCTATCTGCAACAGGTAAGATATTAATTGCTCATAATCTTTTCGCAAACCCTACTTAAATATGTTTAAACTTAAGTTCAAATGTCTCTGGCTCAAAACACATCCTTAAAATAACAGACAAAATAAATAACAATGGGTTTAAGCTCCTTTTCAACTTGTTTGGTCAACCTGCATTTTATAAAAGCAATAATTTGGAATATATTGTACAATAATGAATATTTTCACTCAAAATGCGTATCTTAACCTTATCTACACCAAAAAATCTGAGCTTATCTGTGAGTTGCAGCAACATTTAGACACCATATTTGTTCGAAGTTTTGTTCTGCTTGTCAAAAGYCCATCACAAATTAATTTTAAGTATATTTTTGAAAACCCGTTTGAAGTTCCCATTGCAGAGCGGGTATATAAAGGGGTTCAGGGTGGAGTTGATATAACCGAGCCAAATGGTGAACATGTGAAGATCGTGATGCACACACTCTGGRCAGAATGCCATCACCATAAAAACTATGAAGTAAGGGATCCAACACAGTAAGAAGGCGGCAATTATAAAACCTAACTGCTTGGCTGCTTTGTGCTCCTTGTGAATCCGCAGACTTTGAATCCGGTGCCGTGACTGGTCAATAAATCGGTGCCATGCTTGTCTCAGAGACACCRCGTTATCTGGGTCTATTTTAGCATCTTCGGCACCTTCCTCGGGCCACGGCAGAGCTTGACTTGGGTCGTAGCTGTTGTACAGAACAGATGTGTATCTCTGAACGTCTGACAACTGGCTGCCACCGCGCACTCCGCTCACCGGGTTTGTCACTGTGACGTGACATTCATTTAGGGAGGCTTGGAGTTTGGCCTCGTTGTTTCCACCTGAGCATGTCATTTCCTGCGGCGCTGACGGTTGACTCAGGGGAATCTCAGCGTCTGACTGCCTCTCTTCGGGAGACAGAGAGCATGTTTTTGCTTTGCGTGCCATTCTTAGTCGTTTTGTTGTCATGGTAAGCAGTGACGTCTGCTGGCACTTTACACCTATTTTCCTGTGAGCTCTAAATGGAGCAGCTTTGCTTTTATCAGCATCTTCAAGGGAATATGTTTGGTCAATAGTGTTCTGGTCCAGCAGTCGTTCTTTTTTCGATGTTTTCATCGAGGAGTCATTTTCTTTCTTGGGCGACTTGGAGTCGCTTTTATTCWGACTTTGAGCATTTCCTCCATTCTCATTTTCCCCAAATGAATCTGCTGGATGAATGATTCTCTCTCTGTCTCTTAGGTGCTGCCTCACAGCCAAGTAGATATGTGTGTAAAACCACAGCATCAAAATCGAGGGCACGTAGAAGTTGAAGACTGCAGTGATAACCTTGAACCATGTGACAAAACGGAAGTCCGTGTCACACTTGTTCTCCTCCTCAGGTTTAAGGTCCACGTGCGAGAACGACCTCCACCCCAAAATAGGAACTATCCACATCAACGAGAGCAGCCAGGCGCCGGAGATCATCACACTGGCTTTGCCTCGCGTTCGATACTTCAGGTACTTTAGTGGCTGCCTGACCGAGCGATACCGATCTAAACACAGGATAAACAAGCTGAAAATGGAAGCTGTGCTCGCTACGTAGTCCATGATCAGCCAGAACTGGCACACGGCCCGCCCCAGCTTCCACTCATCCTCCAGCAGATACATCAAGTTCAGAGGCATGACGGTCGCCCCTACGATCAGGTCGGCCACCGACAGGCTGACGATGTACAGGTTCCCCACCGTGTGGAGACTCTTTTCTTTCTTCACGGCATAGAGGACAAGCAGGTTCATTATGATRGTGAGAAGAGAGAGGAGTCCCAGAGAAACCCCCAGCAGGGCGTATTGAAAGGGATTATGAAGGGTCCGGGTGTGGTTGTGCCTCGACACGCTACTCCAACTCTTATTGCTGTCGTTGGTGTTGAGGTCGAGAGAGTCCGTGAAAGGTAACAGACCCGATTCCATCATGTTAGGTGAGACAAAGACTTCTAGATTCAGTCACATTCTGGACAGCTGTCGGTCGGGGTGCGCATCATGTTTCTGAAGGTAATGAGGCGACTCCGTTTGGGTCTGACAGCTGTTTGAAGCAGAGCATGATGACCACTGGACAGATACTCCTTCAGCATCAATCAGTGTCTCTTCAGTCTGTTGTTGGTCTTGATGATTCAAGCATCTGGGAAAAAGTGACAAAAAAAAGGTCGGATTAATTCTTTTCACCACTCAATAAAAAAAGCACAAAACAGAAGTTATTATTCAAAACACAGTATTAAAGAAACAATAGACAGAAATGAAATACAGATATTTCTTGTAAATGAGACCACCTGTCTCAYTGAGATTACTTATCTGAATATAAAAGAAAAATCCAAGTCATGCAAGGCAGTTTCTCCTTCAATCCTTTTTTTACAGTTTGGACTCAGCAGTCTATAAAGCCTAAAATCTCTGTCCTTTCTTCTCCTTCACTGTCCAGCTGGCTTTCTCCAACACTTACACAAGCGGAGGGCAGCAAATCCCATCAGCAACACAGCAGTGGACAAACTGTGTCATTCGCTAAAAGGAGTCACTGATACATTGCCAGGGCAGTGTGATGGAACTTAGGTCCTAGGATTTTTCAGAAACCTTTAGATCAACAAAAAATAAAAATAAATACAAAAACGAATGGGTGAAAGCACAGTAGGACGTTTAATATTAAAACATATCACTATGGGGCTGCGAAAACCACTTATCTTAACAGTTGGGGTATCGATTTTTTATGAGAGAGAGGCCTAAAATAGGCTCGTTGTCATGGGTGCAGGTGGCGTTTCTGTTTACGAATGATCTTTTTAGGAGAAAGAATGTTTTGTTGCTTTCAATTGAACTTATTGAATTGACATTTTAACTTTTCAAGGGTCCCTTTTGTCACTGAGTACAACTGACGTGGCAGTTTTTTTTTTATCATAAGTGTTGATTTTTTAAATAAGCCACTCTTTGTAATTATACAAATGAAGACTGAATTGCATGGCATCTATCTATCTATCTATCTATCTATCTATCTATCTATCTATCTATCTATCTATCTATCTATCTATCTA